CTAAAATCCTAGAGCACTGAGAATTTTCTAATTGGTTACTTCTATTTCTAAACACTCTACACAATAACAGAATCCTCTACCCCTATTATCTGTGAAGCCTTACCAGAGTCCCTCCTCCATGCTCCCACCCAACGTGTATAAAGAACAGCTAACACCCAATTTGGGGAGCCTTTTGGTGTTGAAGGACATGAGAGGGAATACACAATAGAAGCCCTCCCTGTTTTTACTTTCAGTAGCCCCACACATGGACTGAATTCCCTCTTTGACCTTCCATCAGAGCCTGTCTTTAAGTTGGTGGTCAGCACCTACGCTGTGTGATCCCAGGGACCCTAGGCACCAACCTATCCACCCTCAACCACACACAATACTCTTAAATAATTGTCTGATTACTATATGAAATGCTACTAACAGCTCCTCATCTTTAACTTTGAAATATTTGATTCCTTCAGACACATCATATGTAAGCTGTCAGCAACTTATACTTTAAGTTAAGTTTTCTTGGTCCTCTCTTTTTCTTTCTGAATCAGACTAAGTAACTTGGTGATAAGAGCCATATACCCTACTTTTAGTCTTTTCTTCAGCATTTTAGCCACATTAGGAGTAGATGTTCAATACTCATTGTTGATTTATATCTTGGTGTGAAGATCAGAGCTGGTTTCTATCATGAGAACAGGCAGCATGGTAGTGGGGGGCCGGGGGGAGTGGAAGCAAAGGGCACTGGGGCCCTGACAGCAAACATTGCTGACTTGAAAATACTGGTAGAAGCCAGGTCTGTTATGAACTACAGCCATGGACAGTACTGAAAGCAAAAGGGGAGATTCATTTAGCTAAAATGAAAAGGGAAACTAGCATACTGGTATAGGACAGAACTGGGGAAAAGACAAAAAAAGACTACTAGATGGAAAAGATTTCCTGAAAAGTGGAAAAGTCTTCATCTTGAGATAAGGAATGACAGCAAGTATTTTTAACTTTATTGAGCCAAAATCCTAGAGCACTGAGAATTATCTAATTGGTTACTTCTATTTCTAAACACTCTACACAATAAATTCCTAGAAGTTGATAATCACCCTACACACAGGCAGGCACATGACAAACACAGGGGGAAGGGAGAGGAGGGGGAGAAAGAGACAAAGAGCAGAGAGAGAGAGAGAGAGAGAGAGAGAGAGAGAGAGAGAGAGAGAGGGGAGAGAGACTGATTTACATTCAAAACAAATTAAACTGTTGTAGTCTCAGGATTTTCACTCCTAGTGAAAATGCCAACTCACCCAATACAAGAATCAATCTAGCAACTGCTTGAATGTTCTCAAGTTCACAAAGCAATCTGCTCCACTGGGGAGCAGTCCTTGCACTGATTTTGTTTGACGAGTTCTACCACTATAAGAATATATTTTTTCTAACTGAAATGAAGGGAGAGCACTAAACAATGAATTCATACTTCCTAAAGTTACAGGTACTAGGACCAGCACAACTCTGCTGATTCTGTTTTTTTGTTTTGTTTTGTTTTGCCAAAGGCAAACTAAATCACTCCTACTGTAGCCTGAAGGTTTTTATAATAGTTACAAAAGCAAATCTCTCTTCTATAAGGTTAGTGGCTGGGAGGATGTGATGGGGGAGGGCACCCTAATCTTTTGGAAATCATCCTCACTGTCTAGAGGCATTTCTGGACTCGGGGTACCCTTTTGGGAACTGGAAAATACATGCTTAATTTAAAGTAATAAACCAAGGTTCTGATTCTTCCCAGCACTAATTTTCCTTGTGACTGAAGCAGTTATTTAAGTTCTCTGGGCCTCAGTTTCCTTATCCAGAAAGAAAAATGTTTGATAGATGGTTTCCATGGTCCCTTATAAAACAATGCTTGACTCGACAGCAGCTAGACAAAAAACCCCCGGCCATAGCATTCTTCTGAATTTCGTGGAAGCTGTACGAATTAAAATTTTAATACCAGGACCAATGATGTGTTACATCAATTCTGTATCATCCTGCATTTCTGGTAATGTAATGGAAACAAATATCAAATGGGGGAGGCATATTTATTTTAAAATATGTTTAAACTTAGAAAAACAGACCAGCAAAATTTTTCCCTTCAGAGGAAAAATGATGAAGTTTAATGTGATTTAAGCAGAGAAACAACTAAGTTCAGCTGTCAGAAGGGAGGGAGAGACAATTTGAAAACTTCTGATCCAGACGTCTCCAATTCCCCTGCAGTGCCTGCACTAAGCAATATCTTAGAAGCACTCCTGGAAGGTGCGTAGGCCTAGGGCTGGCTTTGGGACTGGACTTTGAGCCCGGGTTACTCAAGGAGCTCATTTGCATTTACCTGAACCACTCTCCAATCCCCACACACCTAAGAACATCCACGCTCTTTGTTTCTCCTAGAGAAAGGACTCAGAAGTCAGAGGTGAGTCACCCACATGCTTTCCAGTTCTTCCTAGAATCCAGAATCCTGGCTGGTTAATGAGACCTCCACTTCACTCCCGATCGATGTGTGCAGGAAAAGGTGAGTGAAAGTGCAGTACCCTCACCCAATTTTGCTTCTGACATCTGCCATGTCACTGCCAATGCCCACTACTGTTAACAGTGGTACCTTCCATGGAGGCCAGTTAGTCAGCCTACCTTTAGAAAGCAAAATCATCATCAAACATTAACATGCCCATCGACGCATGAACGTTTTGGGACAAAATAATCTGCCCATTTCCCGAGGAGCCATTGCTAGAAAGAATTTTGCAAATGTTCTGTCCATCTTGTGTTGGGGGGCGGGGGAGAAATAGCTCTGCTAAGCCAAAGGAACACAGATCTTTTAAGAACCCACGGGCAGAATCATCAGGGAAGAGCTGAGGCCTCACACCACTCTTCTGAGGCCCTCAGGAAAGCTAGGACAACCACACACGACCACACCAACTTCCAATGTCTTGGCTCTCATAGTTTAGCTACTTCTTGGTCCCTAAAGAAGCCTGCGGCCAGGAATCAGAGGTAGGCAGGAAAAGTAAGCCTCTCAGAACAATTAGTTCAACAGGAACTGGACAACTCCTGGGGGAACTCTGGATGGCAAAGGACAGGCTGTTTGCCCTGCCATTCAGCGGCACAAAAATCCAGGCAGGTCGCCGAGGGCACTCAACCAGGCGCTTACACCGGGTGCAGGCAGGACCCGCTTTAGCTCTTGAAGCAGCCGCTCTCGCCCACCATTTGGGGTCTAATTACGCAACGCCCTTCCCGCTCCCTCCTTGTCCCCGCCAGCCAGCTAACGAGGGAGCTCTGTCGAAATCTTTTTCCCAGCTCCCTAGCGTCTCGCGACGATTATCGCACAGCTCCAAGCTGCACAGAGCCCGGCGGCGCGGAGGCGCGCGGGAGAAGCTGGAGCTTCACACATTTGTCCAGATTACCATCGGGCCCCACCTCGGCGATTGCGACATTCGCCCATACGCATCGCATCGCATCGCAGTTGTAAAATATTCCCTAAGTCCCCTCGGGGGCTCGGGAGCTCAGATCGCCGCAGAGGGGCCGTCTATTACTTTGGTTTTTGATAGTACCGTCATTGTTATTGACATCACGATTGGCTTTACAAAACGCACGGGAATCTTAAAGTCTTTTCCTGGCTTCGCTGCCCTCAGAAGACGCAAGACCCCCGGGCCGCCCCGAGGGCCCCGGGGACGCGCGGGCCGCGGGCTCAGGGGGCCCTCACGAGCCCCTGGGGGCGCGACGGTGACGTGGGGGTTGGGGGGAAGGGACTGCAGCCGGGGAAGAGGAGCGGGGCCCAACCCCTCCCCTAGCGATCCGCAGTAAAGGACCTGGGCGCCCGGCCAGGACCGGCGCGATTCGCTGCGGTTTATCAAATCCTTATCGCTGCCCCGAGGTGGGAACCGCCGCTTTCGACGGGAGCATACATGGCTTCTGGCTCCGGTCCCGCCGTGGAAGTCGGAACGAGAGCAAATCAATCAACCCAGGCACCGAGCCCCAAGCCAGCCACCCCCACCCCTTCGCGGCTCGGTCCTCCTCGTCCCGCGCCGCTGCACGGCCGCCAGCCGCTGGTCTCCCGCGGCTCAGGCGGTTCTTGCCCCCGCGCGTTCGATCCCAGCCAAGCCCCGCCGAGCAGCCGCCGAGCACGGGGCTGGACGCTGAGGCGGGCAGCACAGGTGGAGACAGGGGGAACAGGGGACCAAGCAGCGAGCCGCGCACATTCGCGGAGGCCGAGACCGTACCCAGCGCTGCGCCGCCACGCCGTTCCCACCCTCGCCCGGACTCGGAAAGCGGCCGGGAGAGGGCAGGAGGGCAGCGAGAGTTGGCCCGAGTTGCCTCTCACCCAGAGAGGCTCGCGAGGGCAGGCGGGCGGGTCGTGGCTGCCCTTCCCTGTCCTCTTAGGAGACAGACGCCCAACACTGCCATCCCCTTCCAGGACACCTGCCCCCGCAGGGCACTCCGGGGCACTACGCACTCTCCGGCGGAGTCGAGGTGCGGGGAGCAGGAAGGGGGTCCTCCGAGCCTTGGCCGGGTCTGGAGCTCGGGAGCGGGACCCTCTGCCGGGTCCTTGCGCGGCGCTCCGCATTCGGCCCCTTGTCGGTTAGGGGCGCAGCGCGGGTCTCGGAGCGCATTTGGAGGACCCCGGGGATCCGGAGAAAAGAGGCGTGGATGCAAGACCTGAGAACGTCGGAGACTTCAAACCAGAAAACTTTCAGAGCGCCGGCCACGGCAGTCTGGGTCAGGTATGGGAGAGTTTGAACGGCACCGCGGGCGCACTTCCGACCCCCAGGGACACCTCTCTGGGCCTCTGGGCTTCGTTGCGCGCGCGGATCCCCGACTCCTTCGAGTCAGAGAACTTTCCGCTGCTTAGTGGCAGGTCTGCGTCCCCAGACCCGGCACCTGCTCTCCCCTTTCAAGCCTTCCAAACCGACCCCCGGGCCCGAAGATCTCTCCGCGCTCCTCTGCCGACCGCTCTGGGTCGCGCCGGCCCCGCGCAGCCCGGCCGCCTAGGACCGGCTCCCGGGTCGACTCGGACGTCCGCTTACCTTTTCTTCTCCTTGTCAGCTGTCATTGTCGCTGTGGCCCTCTGAGACGCCGAGCACCTGGACTCCCCGGCCGGTGTGGGCTGCAGCCGCTAACTGTGCTGTGGCCCTCGTCCGCTCCCTGCGGCCAGCGCGGGTGTTAAAGGTGCCAAGAGCTCGCAGGTCCCGAGCGCCCCGCACAGTCGGGTGGAAGTTTGCGGGCGGCCGGCTGGGTGCGGGGGAGGGGATGGAGAAAGGTGACGGGGAGGAACCTGCCCGCGGAGGCGGGGTCGGGGAAAGGAGTGGGTGGAGGTTGTCAGACGCGACAAGGGGACAGCGAGGAGGGAACCGAAGTTCTTCTTTCCCTTGGAAAGGAGTCACTTGTCTGGGTGTTCAGAAAAAAGAAGTGGCTGCAAGGACGGGAGCTGGAAGAGTCGGAGGCCCGGCGGGCGCGGCTGCTGAGATGACCATACAGTCTCAGGACACTGCCGAGGATTGTACGGCCGCCCCAGGAGAGCTGGGGGGAGCGCAGCGACGCCGGAGCGGTGCGACTCCCGAGTGTGGGGCGCCGCGGCCGCCCGCCCACTTTAAAAACTCGGGCGGCCGGCGTGGAG